ATGCATGCATGTGTAAACACACACACGATTAAGACAGACAAAAGATAAATGGTTTAACACAGATACTATGGGTGGAAAAAGAATATAGACAAGGTAAATAAAGATCCAAAATTCCAAAGTCCCAAACACAAATTGAAGTTTTATTTTACTCAACCCTTTTGATTTTATCAGTGGTGACATGTTATTGTCTATCGGGTAACAGTTGTTATTTGATTCAATGGTTGATCAGATGGACCTAAATCTCTCGTTTTTAAAATTCTCTCCTTCTTGTTTTCTGTCTTTTCTTCACACAGAGAGAGCAGCGGATGTTCCTTTCCCTTTCACTGCTACAAAAAGCAATACTAGAATCACACTGCTCAAACTTAGGCAACAGTTGATTAGAAAACTCTCCTGGTATTTCCGTTATAGCAGTCCACCCCCATTTCAGTTTATAGCCCCAAAAGAAACGTGGTCTCTTATAGTTGTGTCTTAAGAGGGAAGACATAGCTTCTGAATCATTTTAAATTTGTTTTGAGAATATGGCTGGGTGGCTTGAACTTATTTACATGAATTTTAATGTGGTTAAAACCTTAAGGTGAACAGTTTCATACATTAAAGGAAAAATGTAGGAGAAAATAGAACCAATTTTGTCTAGCAACGGGAGTCCAATATAACAAAGACAGAACCACCTAGAAGCAGACAGACAATGTGTAAGTTTAATCAGACAGAAACGGTGTGTCACAGCAGAAATGCGATAAATATCAATCTCTAAAGCAGTCGGAGATGAGGAAAATCAAAATGCTAACTTGCTAAGAGCAAAGGTCCAGGAACCAATAGCGGCAGTGCTAAATGAACAAGGAACTGAGGTTTGGGTGTCTGTGAGGTTATTAGAGTAAAAAGGTTGAATCTTTATTTTGAATCTTTGTAATAACACAATTTCGAATAATTCTTGCATAGTGTTTAATAGTTTATTTTTCTTTTGTGTAAAGAATCTTTATGTTCTATTGTTAATGGGTCCTTTGACCTGAAATGTTAATCCTGATTTCTCTCCACAGATGCTGCCAGACCTGCTGAGATTTTTCTAGCAATTTCTGTTTTTGTTACAAAACTGCATTAACCCTATTTACCTGCACTTGGTCCATAGCCTACTATGCCCCAGAATTTTAAGCACTTATCTAGATGCTTCTCAAACGTTACAAGAGTATCTGGCTCCACCACCTTCTTGGGAAGTATGTTCCATATTTCTACCACCCACTGGGTGAGAACAAAAAAAGCCTTAAATGTCCTCTAAACCACTTATTGCTCACCTTAAACTTGTGCCCTTTGGTCTTAAGTACATCTTTCATGGGAGAAAGAATCCATGCGATCTACTCTGTCTATGTCTAATCTCAGTCACATTTCCACCGTCAGCTTCTTCTTCTCCAAGGAAATAACAAACACAGCCTATTCAGTCTTTTCATAACTGAAAGTTTTTATCCCAGAAAACTAGTGAATCTCTTCTGCACTCTCCTCAGTGTAATGACATCTTTTCAATAGTGTGGTGACAACATTTTTTTGAAACCATTAATTTATGGCAACTTTAAGCAGATTATGCAACCAGGGCCCTGATGAAGGTGCACAGTGGAAAGGTTCAAGAGAACATATTTAGAATCACTCAAATGTATCCCACAATATAAACAAATTAGAAAATAACTCAAAATCAAGGCCAGAACTCGTTGCTGCCATGATGACAGAACTGTGCAAGAGGCAAAACAAACCTTTTCATTACTTCCACAATAGAATCACATTGTTTACAACAGTAATTGGAGTGTCAGTGATAGCGTTTAAAAATCTTTGAATTCTACTGTGGGTCATTATTTGTCCTCATTTCTCCAACAGTGGTGCTTGCCAAATATTTTCCCACTGTGACTCAGTTGAGGCTTGAAAATTGCTGTGATCCCAGAGAATGAAAATGTGGATGGGAGGGATTGTGTGAGCAGAGTGATTTGAGAGAGTTGTGGAGGGGCAGAGCTAAGAGAGCAGTGGCTTCCTGTAATTTGCACAAGTTATTTTTATGTCTATGATGTGTACTTTGAACACTTATGTTTAAATCTTCATTTAAATTGCAAGCATATCAACAATCTCAAAAAAGGTTTTATGGATCAGCAAACATTAACATTACTGAGTGAAATGCTGAAAATATTGGAGTACCATCACTTCAGGTGATTTTTCTATGCAGAGGCCTTCTGTAATGGCCCCTGGATGTCGTTCAGAATCCTGACCTTACCCTCCAAGGACCACACCTACAAAATACTGCTTTCAGGCTTGGTTGTATTTATCATCAGCCAAGCATAAAATTTCAAGTTTCTAAATTATCTCTTGTAGATTTCTTCAGTTCCCAAAATTGATAAAGTTGAGTGTCATATGCTTGGGCAAGTCTGACTCTAACTCTGAAGCATAAGATGCAATTGAAAACTTTACAGTACTTATTTATATTTGTAGTGATGGCAACGAGGTCAACCAGGTGGACCTAATAGAATGAGAGTACCCTGATTGGACCAGATTAACAATCCCAATCAGGAAGCCCTGGCTGACAGATACAAACAGGAATGTCAGATGTTCTATTCACTCCAAGCTGGATAAGTGTCAAGGACTCTCCAAACAGAAAATAGAGGGTGACCTGGTGATTGGATACTGGCCTCCATGGAGTTATTTCAATACTAAACCTACTTGTGTAGGATTTCCAAATGTAGATTTGGTGTACTCAGTAAATTACTGGTTACAAATAATATATTTCCACTCTTGATTATTGTAATCTTATATTGTTGTTTTAGTATATTTCAGAATTTTGACCAGACAGTGGTTAATGGGCCTTTGATTTTCTCAGCATCATTTTTTCCCTTGAATGCCATTTGTATGTTTGTGTGCACACGTTGCAACCAATGTAAACAGCGTCACTTCACAATTATTTTTAAAGACCTCTTTGGGCATGTTATGGCACATACCTCCATAGAAGGTGGGACTTGAAGCTGGATCTTCTGACCTAGAAGCAGGGACACTACCACAACACCACAAGTGCCCCTTCACATGTATTTATCTATGGCCCATAACCTTTCAACTGCCCGCGGCACTTTACAGGAAGTGACAAGAATGAACGTTCGGCTATGAGCAAAGGTTAGGACAGGTAAATGAGGACTACATCACAGAGATAGTAGGAACTGCCGATGCTGGAGAATCTGAGATAACAAGGTGTAGAGCTGGATGAACACAGCAGGCCAAGCAGCATCAGAGGAGCAGGAAAGCTGACGTTTCGGGTCGAGATCCTTCCTCTGAAGAATAGAGAATTGGCTGACTGGCAGAAAGCAGAGAGTGGGGAATAAGGTGGGGAGGTGGGGGTGCTTTCCCAGGATGGTAGCCAGTGACTGGTGGGATTCTACAGGGGTCAGTTTTGGGACCACAACTATTCACACTATACATTAAAAATCTGGATGAAGGATTGAGGGCATTGTTGCTCAGTTTGCAGATGACACAAAGATAGGTGGTGGGACAGGTAGTGTTGAGGACATGGGGAGGCTGCAGAATGACTTGGACAGACTAAGACAGTGGGCAAAAAGTGGCAGATGGAATACAATGTGGGACAGTGTGAAGTTATGCATTTTGGTGGGAAGAATAGAGGCATACACTATTTTCTAAGTCTGGAGTGACTTCAGAAATCTGAATCACAAAGGGACTTCAGTGTCCGAGTTCAGGGTTCTCTTAAGGATAACGTGCAGATTCAGTTAGCAGTTAGGAAGGCAGATTCAATATTAGTAATCATTTCAAGAGGGCTAGAAAACAAGAACAGAAATGTACTGCTGAGGTTGTATAAGGCTCTGGTCAGACTACATTTGGAATATTGAGAGCAGTTTTGGGACCCGTACCTCAGGAAGGTTGTCCTGGTTGGGAGGAGTTCCTGAGGAATGATCCCAGGGATGGAGACCTTGTCGTACAAGGAGCAGTTGAGGACTCTGCGTCTATACTCTATGGAATTAAGAAGGATGTTTGGGAATGGCGGGGGGGGGAGATCTCATTGAAACTTGCAGATACTGAGAGGCCTGGATAGATTGGACATGGAGATGATGTTTCCACTAGTAGGAGAGACTGGAATCCCAGGGCACAGCCGCAAAGTAAAGGGACAACCCTTTCAAACTGAGTTGAAAAAGAATTTCTTCATCCAGATGGTGGTAAATCTGTGGAACTCATTGCTGCAATGGACTGTGGAGGAGGCCAAGTCTTTGAATGTATTTGGAAGAGAGATAGATTGGTTCTTGATTAGTAAGGGATCAAGAGTTACGGGGAGAAGGCAGGGAAGTCGGATTCAGAAATATAGCCATGGTTGAAGGGCAGAACAAATGGTTGAATTTTGCTCCTATATCTGATGATCTGATGGTCTAAATACTTTTAAAGCCTGAGCACTTTCTTCCATGTCCTTACCCAAACCCCAACACATGAGGCCTTGTAATTGCATGGGCTGCTACCACAACCAACCCATTGTCAGCCACTAAAAGCCCCCATCAGTAGCTATTGTTTCTCCCAGACTGTAAAAGATTATTGCGCTTTCTCTCCACAGATGCTGGCAGACCTGCTGAACTTCTCCAGCAATCTCAGTTTTTATTTCTGATTTCCAGCATCTACAGTTCTTTGGGTTTTTTTTTTAAGATCATGGGTTTAATCCCAACTGTACAGTCCTGCATACCTCTGATAACCCTCCATCCCCTTAGTAATCAAGAGCCTATCTACAGCTGCCTAAAACATATTCAAAGATTCTTCATCCAAGGACAGGGTTATTGAATAGATCTATTGAAGGACAAGAATCTATGTAGATCAGCAAGGACAGGGTTTATGGTCACCAAGACTTTGAGAGGGACAGGGTGCCAGAGGAATCATTAGAGTAGTTTCAGTTTTGAAGACCATGACAGAATATTGTGATCATAGACCATGAATATTTCGAGGAGAGAACAAAAAGCAAGAGTAAAATATATATCTGCTGATGTTTCTACCAGGTTCTCCCATAGGAGTTATGTTTGTTACACCTGGCATTACTCCATGGAAAACAACACTGCCTGGTGTGGAGAATGGAGCTAACAACCCAGCAATTCGGGTATTTGAGTACAACACAAATACACTGGAAGTCCAGGTACGATTGCTGTCTGGTTTAAAATCTCAGCACTTCATAATTTTGTAGATACATTTTAAGTGCTTCCTTTGTTATTCTTTTCTAGCAAGTAAAAGTGCCATACCTCCAGCTACCATGAATTTTAGACCAGTAGGTCCCAAGTTTTGTTTCTTATCTATATAAAATTAACCAGAACAACACTTGAAATGCTACAATCAGCCTCACTTAGGTAAAATGAAATAATTTGAAGTGTCAGCTCTAAATGTGGTCAAGTGATTGTTTGGTAACAGAAGGGGTGTGCATGTTAAATGTGGTGCCTTCCATTGAAGAATAGCACATTTATACCCACATGAAGAAAGGCCTCTTGAGCATGTCAGCACATCTGGAACTATTCAATAGCCAATGCCTCCAGGAGAGTGGGGTAAAAGGAATACTTCATTTATATAACAGAAATTCAAAAATTGAGCAGTGCACGCTCAGATCTATACAGCCTTGCTTTCACTTTTTGGTAAACTTCACCCAACTCTGCCTGTATCCAGTAAATCTCTTGTTGGCCAATTAAGTGCTGACACATCACAACTCCAAAGTTCCTAACATGATAAGACTGAAATGAATGCTTAGCAGTAATGATATTGAGTGAATCTGTTTTTGTCTCTATCTAGGTATTAATGAAAATAAGACATCACTTAGTCATTGCTGGATTCCACTTCATCTTGAGACAGAATGCATTCTAAATCTTTACTTAATCTTTACTTAGTTTAGTTGATTTTGTGTCAAGCAGAACAATTGTAATTATTCAGTTATTTATTATCATTTCCAATTTAGAAGTGCTTTAATTCCATGCAGGAAATAATCACATTTTAAGGAAGCAAGTTATCTCTGCTGTTCCATGCGTTACAATATTAGTTATCATTCTACTGACCTGGCTCACATCAAGACAGAAATAAATTCAATTTCTAAACGTGGGCAAATTTGCAAGTTACTTTCTGTGACAAAGTTCAAGATTATAGTGAAGCATACCTTCAATAAAAACTGCCTTTCTTTTTTCCTGTGACCCAGTCATGATACATGGAGTTTGAAAGAATGAGCTTCTCTCTACTCTCGTGGTTTTTTAATGGAACAGTTATTAGAATAGAATATAGAGGGCTGGATTTTGTGTCAATGATGAAGAACTGGTGCTGACCTTGAAGACAGCTACGTTCAGAATTCTTGCAATCCCTGTGGTGAGAAGTTTAGCTCTCTTTCCCATTACATAATGCTACCGGATGGCATGGTGGCTCAGTGGTTAACACTGCAGCCTCACAGCGCTAGGGACCCTGGTTTGATTCCACCCTCAGGCGACTGTAGGTGTGGAGTTTGCACATTCTCCCTGTGACTGTGTGGGTTTCCACTTGATGCTCCAGTTTCCTCCCACAGTCCAAAGATGTGCAGGTTAGGTGGATTGGCCATGCTAAATTGCCCATACTGTCTGGGCTTATGTAAGTTAGGTGCTTTAGCCATAGGAAATGCAGTGTTACAGGGAAAGGGTAGGGGGATGGGTCTGGGTGAGATGCTCTTGGGAGGTTAGTGTGGACTTATTCGGCTGAATGACCTATTTCCACACTGTAGGGAGTCTATGATTCTCAGATCGAGCTGTAGTGATGTCGTCAAGCTGCCCAATCACGTTAAAGAATTCTCATAGTCAGCCAGCCACGAAGATGATTAGTAACTAATTCTCTTCTTAAAGATTTTATACAGTGAAGTCAAGTTTGAGACGTGCTATTTTCCGATGACCACTGTTGGCACTTCGTCGTATTTAGCACCCTTCCAGATGAGTCATATGGGGTAGTACAGCATAGAAATAGGCTGGTCCAACTTGTCCGTGCTGATCAGATATCCTAAACTAATCTAGTCCCATTTGCCAGCACTTGGCCCATATCTCTCTAAACCCTTCCTATTCATGTATCAATCCAGATGTCTTTTAAATGTTATTTTTGTACCAGCCTCCACCACTTCCTCTAGCAGCTCATTCCATTTACTCACCACCCTCTGTGTGAAAAAGTAGCCCCTTAGGTCTCTTTTACCTTGCCCCTCTCACCTTAAGCCCATGCCGTCTAGTCTTGGACTCCCCTGGGATAAAAGACCTTGTCTATTTACCCTATCCATGCCCCTCATGATTTTATAAACCTCCATAGGTCACCCCTCAAACTCTAAAGCTCCAGGGAAAAAAAGCCCCAGTCAATTCAGCATCTCCCTATAACTGAAACTCTCCAACCCTGGAAACATCCTTGTAAATATTTTCTGCACCCTGTCAAGTTTAAATACATCTTTGTTATAGCAGGGAGACCAGAATTGAAAGCAATATTCCAAAAGTGGCCTAACCAGTGTCCTGTTCAGCCACAACATGACATCCCAACTCCTTTACTATTTACATTCAGTTCTGATATAATGCATGTTTCTTCAATGTGAAATGGTTTCAACACGATTGAAAAATTTGTAGAATGCTATTTGTAGAACGCAAACTTTCCCTACCTGCATTGGCTATAACATGATTCTGTCACTTTAAATGTTGTTGCGTGATTTTCTTATAACGTGAGATCGCATGAGAATGGAACTATTGTGTTATATCAGAACTGACTGTACACTGACCAATAAAGGCAAATGTACCAAATGCCTTCTTCACTACCCTATCTACCTATGACTCTACTTTCAAGGAACAATGAACCTGCACCCCAAGGTCTCTTTGTTTGGCAACACTCCCCAGGACCCTACCATTAAGTGTACAAGTTCTGCCCTGATTTGCCTTATCAAAATACAACACCTCACTTTTATCTAAATTAAACACCATCTGCCAGTCCTTAGCTCATCCGCCCATCTGATCAAGCTTCCGTTGTACTCTGAGAGAACCTTCTTCACTGTCCACTACACCACCAATTTTGTTGTCATCTGAAAATTTACTAACCATTCCTCCTTTATTCACATCCAATGTTGCACTGGGTATGGGTTATTTGAGGTAGTTTGTTGCTACCAAACCTATTTGCCTTCATTTTGGGCCTGTCTACTAATTTGTTGAGGACATATCACCATAGAGTATCTGCAGAAGAGACATTGTTCTTAGAAGACAGGAAGGTTTATCACATGATAGCAATGAATACAACTACATTTGGTCACATTTGGGACCTTAGAGAGCTGGTACAGATAACAACTGCTCCCTCCAAAAGTGAGAGAAGAACAAGTTGTTTCCAACAACCAACTGTGTGACATCAGTAGAATAACATGAACATTCACTTTTTCAGAACCATAACTTATACAACGAGATCTGGTTGGCCAAATCTAGTAATTAATCAGAGACATCGAACAGCAGTTCATAGGTCACTTGGAGGTGGGATCATTTAATATTTTTAGGACAATGGTAGATAGATTCCTGTTTAACAGGAAATCAAGGGTTATTGGGGGTAGGTGGGAATGTGGAACTTGAAACACAGATGCATTGACGATGAACTTATTAAGTGGCTGAGCGTACTTGATGGGTGACTATTCCACTTCTGTTCCTATTTCATATGTTTAAAAGTAGTTTTTGGTCAGATCACAATCCAGAATTCAGTTACAACTCATTTACAGGGCGTAACTTTAATGGGGTTTTTAAACAGTGATGTGAGAGCAGGAGAGAACACAAGGAAGAAGGTGGAGAAAAGATTCACGGAATCGTTCCAGGGAAAGGAACTTAATTCTGAGAGTTTTAAAGCCGAAGCTATTCTCCATAAAAGAATGTAAGGTTGAGAAGAGAATTGATGTAAATGTCAAAATTGAAAGGTCTGAATAGAGTAGATCAAGAGAAACTGTTCCCATTGGTGGAAGAGTCAAGGAACAGATACACTAGCTTAGGTGATTAGGAAAAGAAGCGATGGCAATATAAACAAAAGCTTTTTTATGCAGCAAGTGGGTAGAATATGGATTGCTCTGCCTGAGAGTTTGGTAGAGACAGATTTCAATTGATATTTTCAAAGGAAATTGGATATTATCAGAAAAGAAACTTACGGTGCTCAGGGAAATACCTTGAAGTGGCACTGGCTGAGTAGTTCTTAAAGCTAGTACTGACATGATCTGCTGAGTGGCCTGCCTTCTGTACTACAAATATTTCACAACTCCATAATGTTTGTTTGCACTAAATCCAAAATTGCAATCCAATTCAGAAGGGTAACTACAACAAATGCTGACTACTCAATGTCAAAACACCTGAAAACCACACATAGTCAACTTTTTAATTATTTATGATCTTTAGGCACCAGTTGTAATTGATTTATGATTGTCATTAATTATTGTAACTATTGATTTTTCTTTAGGATCAGGTGACATACTTCTTCAATTTAAGCTATGCAAATACAATAGCTCCACTGTGGCAATTGGAATACCGTTTAACAGAGGCATTTAAGGTTCCAGATGGTACATTTAAGTCAATGCAAACAGTACTGGATAAGTTATACCATGAAAACTACTATCTACAGAAATATTATAAACTTAATTCCGTAAACTATGATTTAGCTGAATGTGACATGAACTGCAGAATTGATCAGGTTTGTGCAATCAAAGAAGTTGATTTTGCTAAATATGAAGATTGTGTGAAAAGAGAGAGCTCCTGTTCTGCTGTTACTGCCCAAGTGCCTGTTATTTCTTTTCTGTTGCTTTCCAATGTGCTCCTCCAATTCTAGCATATAACAGATCAGTAGAAACATGGCAAAGTATGAAGATCATAGACATTGTTTAACAGACAATCCCTAACTGACGATAATTATACTTAAATCTGCATGTAATTTATCCAGTATGATTAATTTGGATTGGGTCTTTGTTAAACTCAACCAACCCATTTATTCCTTTCACTTTATGCACAGTTATGCAGCTAAAGGTAATTGAGAAGAAAAAAATGCAACAAAACTGCATTTACAGCAGCCAGTCCATGCTGAAGATAATCTCCATGGACACACTTAAAAACAACCAACTTCATGACATTAACTGTGACCCAGAGGGGGCCTTCTTGTGGTACAGTAGTATTGCCCCTCCCCCTAGACCTGGTAGGTCTGGGTTCAAGTCCAAATGATCTACAAATGTGTAATAATATCTAAACAGGTTGGTTAGAAAATATATAAATGGAGTCAGAATCATTACAGCACTGACAATGACAAATCGTCACATTAAGACCATGCTGGCTATCTACAGAAAGATTCAGTCACTCATTCCCCTGTTCTGTCCTTGTAGCCCCACAGGTCTATTTCCCTCATGTCTGCAAATGTCTTTTCGAAATTAATTTGGTCCATTCCTACTTCTCTCACAGTCAGTAAGTTCTTTACCATTTGCTCTTGTCCTGGTTCAATCATGGGTTCGGTAGGATATAACAAAATACTCTACGAGTTATGTGATACTAATTAACAAGTTTATTGGTGGTTTAATATGTAATATATATATTAAGCAGAGATAAATATATTAGAAACACAAACAAACTAATGAGTGCTGAAACTACTTTAGACATGTTCAACAATGAGTCTCACTGTCCCCTGCCCACTTTACAACGGCTGGCCTGGAGAACTCGACGTTCTTGGCACCATTGGCAATCTCAGTCCAAGGTGAAGTCCTTGAATAGGATAAAGCCTCCAATATAAACACTATCCTGAATCTAAGATTACACATTGTATCATCATTCCGTAGTACTTTCAGGACTTTTCCAGAATTCCATTATGCTGAAATAACATGTCCAGGTAGCCCTGTGTAACAGCTCTTCAAGACAGTTCCCACTGATAAATTCATACCACATGACTATTTTTCAGTCAAAACAGGCTGTGATCAGATTAGGTCTGTTTTCCAGCATTTTTCCACTTTATTTCAGTTGTTCATTTTCATGCTCATTAACCCTTAATGGTCTGGTTTGAAGACATCATTTCTAAGCCTACCACTACAGCTCTCTAACAAAAAAAATTAAAGTTATTCCTCACAGACAACCGCATCTCTCTAAAACTAAAAGCAGTGTCCTCTAATGATATCAGCTACTGGCAACGGCTTTTCTTAGTCTACTTATAAACTTGTCATAATCTGGACCATTCCTAATAGATCACCTACAATCTTCATTGTCCCAAGGAGAGAATCTGAGCTTTTCCAACTAATCTTGGAGCTAAAATCTCTCATTCATGGAACCATTGTGGTAAATCTCCTATGCAATCTCCCACAGTTACTTCACAAGTTGCCTAAAAATCTCCAAACATCTGTAATGATTTAAGGTTCAGAATAGATTTTGCTGGGGTAAATGTAAAGAACTTGATTGTTAATCAATGCTTTGAAAGTTCTGTTGACTCATACATTGCTGCTATACATAGCCAATTTATGTCAGTAATGTTACCGATGCTAGTGGTTAAACTCATCATGTGGATGCTGAGTCATACTATTCAACACAACATAGAACCTACTTTGTGGTAAAGTAAGGGTATGGTGAGTGAGGCAAGGAAGTACAAAATAGGAACAAAAACAGAAATTTCTAGAAAACTCAGCAGGTCTGGCAACATCCGTTGAGAGAAAGCAGAGTCAACATTTTGGGTCCAGTGACTCTTCTTCAGAACTGTTCTCAACTACTGCCAGGCCTGCTGAGTTTTTTCCAGCAATTTCTGTTTTTGTTTCTCATTTGCAGCATTCTCAGTTCTTTGTTTTTTTTTGTTAAGTACCAGTTAAGCATTAGATGAATGGATTTCTGCCAAAGAGCTGCCAAGTCATCAAAAGATCAGGTCAAAAGTGGCAAACATATCCTCTAATTGAAAGGTAAGAAAGGGGAGTAAAAATAGGCTGTAAGATCCTGATTCCGATCTTGATTCCATGCTCCCTCCCAATCATATATATCTATGAATTAAAAGCAAAGCATCCGCAGCACTTTGGAATGAAGAATTTCAAAGATTCTCAATTTTCCCTGAGTGAAGTGATTTTTCCTCCTCTCAGTCTTAAGTAGCTGACCACACATCAAGATAATGCCCCTCATTCCAGACCTTCCAGCCACATTTACTGTCTGAGATCAGATTCAAACATAAGCACCTCAGATTTATTTTTCTCTTTATTCTTTCATGAGATGTTACTGGCCAGACCAGTTTTCATTTTCCATCTCTTGCTGCCCTTTGACTCTTGAATATGCTGTTTTGAACACATTGGCTCCAGTGTTTGAGTTCTAAATAACCAGTGGGAATATAGTGATTGTTTCTTTATTTGAATAAAGTTCCTTTGATTATTTTGGAGAAATCATTAAGTGCCTGAATTACCATTCACAATTCAGATGAAATTGCTGTAACGGAAGATTCAATAACCTGTCCACTTAAAAAGCAAATTCCTGTCAACATCCTGGAGGATATCATTGACCCCACACTGAACTGGACCAGTGAAATAAATTCTGCAGCACAAAATTTGTCTCCTGTCCAGCACCTGCAAAGCATGAATTGGTAGCATAATGGAATACTCTCCACTTCCTTGGATGAGTGCAGCTTCAACAACACTCATGAAGCTCTACAACATCCAGGATAAAGCAGCCCGTTTGATTGGGATCCCACCTACAACCTTAAACATTTGCTCCCTCCACTGACACAAAGTAGCAGCAGTGTACACAATCCACAAGCTGCACTGCACTAACTCACCAAGGCTCCTTTAGCAACAGCTTCCAAATCCACAACAAGAGTAGCAGATACATGGGATCACCACCACCTGCAAGCAGCCCACTAAATCACACATCACCCTGACTTGGAATTACATCACCGTTCCTTCACCATTACTTAAAATCCTGGAATTTCCTCTATAGCAGGCGCTCTTATGCCCAAGGATTACAGCAATTCAAATATGTGGTTCACTATCACCTTCTGAAGGGCAATTAGGGATGGGCAATAAATACCTAGCCAGCATGCCCAAATTCTGTGAACAAGAGAAAATAGCAGGATGCTGAAGCACCCAGCTTGCATCCTATTCACATTGTGCAGGGCTGGATGAACACAGCAGGCCAAGCAGCATCATAGGAGCAGAGAGGCTCTGCTCCTATGATGCTGCTTGGCCTGCTGTGTTCATCCAGCCCTG